GTTCACCCGTGGTACTGGTAAAGAAGAAGGATGGCAGCATGCGGTTCTGTGTTGATTACCGCCGTCTGAACGACGTTACAAAGAAGGACAGCTATCCCTTGCCAAGAATTGATGACACGCTGGACATGCTTACAGGAGTAAAATGGTTTAGCACGCTGGATCTAAAAAGTGGCTACTGGCAAGTTGAAATTGACCCTAAGGACAAGGAGAAAACTGCGTTCTCGACGGGAAAGGGTCTGTGGCAATTCAAAGTAATGCCGTTTGGGTTGTGCAATGCTCCAGCAACGTTTGAAAGGCTGATGGAACTTGTACTTACCGGGCTAATTGGCGATGCCTGTCTGGTCTACTTGGATGACATCATCATCGTGGGCCGTACGTTTGAGGAACACCTTCAAAACCTGGAACGCGTGCTCATGAAGATTAAGAGTGCCAACCTTAAGTTGAGTCCGAAGAAATGTTCACTATTCAAACGGCAAGTCAACTTTTTGGGGTATGTAGTGTCGGAAGAAGGTATCCGCACGGATCCAGAGAAAATCGCAGCTGTAAAGGATTGGCCGGTTCCAAAAGACAAGACGCAGGTTAGAGCATTTTTGGGTTTGTGCTCCTATTACCGACGTTTTGTGAAGAACTTTGCAGATATAGCCAAACCTCTGCATAAGCTAACCGAGGAGAAGCGACATTTCTGCTGGGATGAAAGTTGTAACATCGCATTCCAGGAGCTCAAGGACCGTCTGTGCAAAACACCTATTTTGGGATACCCTGATGCAAGCAAAGAATTTATAGTTGACACAGACGCAAGTGATATAGGACTTGGCGGTGTGTTGTCTCAACGTAATGGTGACCAAGAGGTCGTGATAGCGTACTTCAGCAAGTCGTTGTCAAAACCGGAAAGGAACTACTGTGTCACAAGACGCGAATTGCTAGCTGTGGTAAAGTCGTTGCAACATTTTAGCAAATATCTTCTGGGACGAAAATTTCACTTACGAACTGACCATGCTGCACTAAAATGGCTATTGCAGTTTAAAAACCCAGAAGGACAAGTTGCGAGGTGGATTGAACTACTGCAGGAATACGACTTTGAGATCGAACATCGCAGCGGGAAATCTCATGGCAACGCAGATGCATTGTCAAGAAGACCTTGTCCTGAAGATTGCAAACATTGTACTAGGCAAGAGAGTAAGGAAGTGGTATCCGTGAGGATGCTCAGGGCAGACCACCTCAGCAACGAGTGGAAGGACAGCTTACTACATGCACAGCAGGAAGATCCGGACATCAAGCCGATTCTGGAATGGATAAAGGCCAGTGCTCCCAAGCCCAAGTGGAGTGACGTCTCAGCGATGAGTTCGACCACTAAAAGCTATTGGGCCCAGTGGGACAGCTTGCTGCTTCAGGATGGAGTTCTGTGTCGTAAATGGGAAAACGTTCGGGGAGACAGCTGTCATTTGCAAATGGTTGTCCCTAAAGTTAAAGTACCGGATGTTCTACAGCTGTACCATAATGATTGTTCAGGAGGCCATCTGGGAGTTAAACGAACTCTACTGAAGATCCGAGAACGGTTTTACTGGGTCCACTGTCGAAACGATGTCGAGGACTGGTGTCGCAAATGTACAAGTTGTGCGGCTGTAAAGGGACCTCAGACTCGTAGTAGAGGTGCATTGAAGTTGTACAATGTTGGTGCACCATGGGAGAGAATAGCCATTGACGTGGCGGGGCCGTTTCCGGAGAGTGAAAGCGGTAACAAGTATTTCATGGTTGTGATGGATTACTTCACTAAGTGGCCAGAAGTCTTCGCCATTCCAAATCAAGAAGCTTCAACAGTTGCAGATAAACTAGTTCATGAAGTCTTCTGTCGTTTTGGAGTACCTTTAGAGATTCACAGCGATCAAGGAAGGAATTTTGAGTCTCAAATATTCCAGGAAACTTGCCGAGTTATGGGTACTCATAAAACAAGAACGACTTCTTATCACCCGCAATCTGATGGAATGGTGGAACGATTTAATCAGACATTGGAGAGGTACCTAGCAAAAGTTGTAGACAATCGGCAACGAGATTGGGACAAGCACATACAACCGTTTTTGTTGTCATATCGAAGTTCTGTTCACGAAAGTACAGCAGTGACACCAGCTTTCGCAAACTTTGGAAGAGAATTACGGCTGCCCGCAGACCTGATCACCGGGATACCACCCGATGCTCCACGCAGTATAACCGATTATGCAAATGACTTGCGGAAAAAAATGAATGACGTTTATGAGCACGTCAGACAATCGGGCCAGCAAATGTCTGAAAAGATGAAAACCCGGTATGACCGCAAAATGAACAACAAAGGGTTCGACGAAGGTTCACTTGTGTGGTTGCAAAATCCAGTCCGCAGCAAAGGGAAATCTCCTAAGCTTCAAGCTAAATGGGACGGCCCGTACCGGATTGTAACCAGGATCAACGATGTGACCTACCGGATACAGAAAGGCGCAAGAGGGACTCCTAAGATCGTCCATGTGGATCGCTTGGCGCGTTATTATGGGACCGATAATGCTCGGGACGAGCATGTCTTAGGAGGGGGCAGTGTTGCATGAATAAGTCAACTAGCGCCATCTAGTGTCAGGAACGAGAGCGAGGGGAGCATTGAGAAAATGACATCACAAATCGCTCAACTGACAGCGCCTAGTCGAAACTCGAACGCTCGGTACCTTCCGCGTGTTTACTTGAACATTCTGGATATTTCTTTGCTAATTTAAATATATAGGCGCTGCAAGATGCGATGGAGGCAGTGTTGATTTGGGCGAAACAAGCGAAGCTTCGGAGTGGAATTAAGTGAATTAGTGTGTTTAAATTATTAGTGTTTTAACTTTAATTGTGTAAAGTAAATTAAAGTGTTAATTTAGGTAATTTTATCGGCAATTTTTATTGTCACGAACCGCAAGCTCGTAACAGTATCATGAAGTCTTGCAGTGGTATGCTTGGGTTTGGGTTTAATTTTGTTAATTATAGGATCCCAAGCAGATCGTAGCACCCAACCATCTTCTCTATTGAAATTTGGATGTTTTTTAATTTCAATAGTCTCGCGTATCATCCTTGGTAGGAATCGGTGTTCTTTTGCGAGAATTTGTGGTTTATCAAATCTAATGTAATGGTGGGGACGATCTTGAACATGTTCGCAGACTGCAGACTTCCCGGAGCGTCGGTGCTTCACATCAGCTATATGTTCCTTCACGCGGGTTTTTATAGATCTCTTTGTTTGACCTATGTATGAGAGACCACATTCACAATCTAGCTTGTACACACCTGCATCTTGTAGAGGAATATTACATTTGATGGATGGTAAAAATTGACTAATCTTCTTCAGCGGCTTGTAGTATGTCTTAATGGACGCTCGCTTCAAGATGTAGCCAATCTTGTCCGTGACTCCTCTAACATATGGTAGTAGAGCAGGCGCGCGCTCGACTGTGGCCGGCTTCACTCGTTCACTGTGACGTAGGCGCGGGACCCGAAGCTTGTTGTCTTGCAATACTTGCTTGACGTGCTGAAGCTCCGCAGCCAGATGTTTTCTGTCACAGATCCCTCGTGCTCTCTGAAACAAAGATTTACCCACGGTAGCTAACTGTGAAGGATGATGGTGAGATTCACCATTTAAATATCGGTTGGTATGGGTCTTTTTCCTATACACAGTGTGACCAATAGTGTTATCAGGATTTCGGATGACTAAAACATCTAGGAAAGCTAAAGAATTATTTGCCTCTAACTCCATTGTGAATTGTATTTTAGAGTTTATGGAGTTAAGGTGGTCTAAAAATGCAGTTACTTTGTCAGATGGTAAAATTGTGAAAGTGTCATCTACGTACCGCTTGTAGAACCTGGATTTACAGGAGCAGTAAGAAGGGCTTTCTCCTCAAAGTCCTCCATGAATATGTCGGCGACTATTGGAGACACAGCTGAGCCCAGCGACACACCATCTACTTGCTTGTAGAACTCCTCCTTCCACAATAGATAGTCAGATGTGAGGCAATGTTCAAGTAGTATTGCATATTCTTGAGGCATGTTATTTTCTTCTAGCTTCCTAGTTACAATTGAGATGCAGTCCACAATAGGTAGGCATGTAAATAGTGACTGAACATCAAAACTGACCATAGTTTCATTGTTAGCGAGATGTAGGTCTTTTATCTCACTCACAAAATGGTATGAATCCTTTGTGTGTGCTCTGGTATGTCCTCTTAGTGGTGATAGTATTTTTGCTAAGTATTGAGCCGGCTTATAAGTTGGTGAATCGATCTGGCTCACTATGGGACGTAGTGGAACGTTTGGTTTGTGTATCTTCGGTAACCCATACAACCTCGGTGGTTTGGCACATGATGGTATTAGCGAATTCACGTCGAGATTTAATTTTTCGGAGTATTTCTTTATTAAATCGCTAGTTGTTTTAAGCGTGTTAGTTGTAGGGTCTGTTTTGACCTTTTTATATGTACTTTCGTCCGATAAAAGTTGTTGTATTTTAAAATTATATTCCGACGCGTCCATTACTACCGTAGCATTTCCTTTATCCGCGCGGAGAATCGTGAGTTCTGGTCTATTCCGTAAGTTATTTAGCGCTGTAAATTCGTCTTTGGGAAGGTTTGTTTTCGGCACTGAACTACGACGTAACAAGGACGAAATATCTTGACGTATAGCCTCCAAATCTTCCTTACCGATATTATTCTTAAACAGACAATCCTCAACACTGCAGATAATTTCTTCGTACGGGATTTTTCGCGGAGTTAATGCGATAAAATCCGTAAATAATTGTTTTATTCAATGTGTAGTGTTCGCGTAAATTTAAGAAATCATTCACGTAAAACTTATAACAATCCTCTTTTTACGTCTATTATTCATGGATCCAATCAATCATTAAATTCAATAAGGTTGGACTAAGAGGGCGAGATGGAATTTTGACAACCAGCAATGTTTTAATAACAAAATACGAAACTAAACAAAAATACCACAGTAATTCGTAGGAGAATTCCCGAATATGGCTATTTGTTGTTTGTATAGGCATTTTGGACGAAGACTTTTATTTTTAACCAGTCTTTGTTGTGCAGAATTTCAGTATGTTGACTACGAAGTTCCTCGCACTCATGGCGTTTTGGCGGTTGTTTATTTTTAATATGTTTGCTAAAAAACTTTTTAACTATACTTTTCTGTTCTGTGGTCCAAGGAACAACGTTTCGTTTTTTCTTTGTTTTAATATGTGTAGCATTGGTAGCATCGCTAAGTAGAGTTGACTGCGGAGTAAGGACAGGGTTATCGTCTGTGAACTCCGTTTCTTTTGATTTTTCAGTTGGTAATGCAGCATCGTAATCTATTAATTCATCACTATCGTAATTATCGTGGCCCTGTGCGTTTTCTAGTAAATCTTGTTCTAAATCTAAGTTTATGTCATCCAAACATTTGCCTCTATAAGAGTCTGCTTTGCCACTCTCCATGAGCAGCAGTAATTTTGATAGTTTGGCCGTCTGATACACGTCATCGGGTAATCTATAGTTTTGTCTGTGGACAGCCTGTGTGTGCCCCATAAAGTTAGCTAGTTGTTCAATGTCTGATTCTTTAAGGTTAAACATCTGAGTCAACGTAGCCAAATGTTTGCGTAGCTTAGTCGTAGTAATAGCTGCAGGATTTCGAGCTCCACTTGCAGTGGCATACTTTTTCAAGACCTTATAACCACATAATGTACTTTCAGATCCGGGTTTTGCAAACAAAAAGTCGTTTTTTTCACATATGTAATTACGTCTCACAGAGATAAGCAAATTGATGTCACTTTGGACTTCGTCAGTCAACAGAACGGGCACACCTCGACCTCTTTTACCCCGTATAACAATACGCTTAAAACTATTTACCAACACTTTTTCCGCACTTGAAATAGCTCGGTCAAATTCCTCATATGCGCTTTTGTCATTGCTGATCTCTTGGTAGATGCTGAGTGGGAGACGTTGCAGTTCACCAGGCCGACGTCTGTTGAGAAGAAGAACGCGGCAGTAAACTGTCTCTGTTAGAGTGTTGTACGCTAGTTTTGGATTCTATTAACTTAGATGCTGCAGACTTAGATTTTTCGCAAAGATAATTTTTTAAGGAGTTTTAAGTTTTTCGCAAGAGAAACAATTGTAATTTTATTCCATTTTTTTAAGTTTAAGTCATTGCAGGCCTGGCTTGAAACATCAAACTTCCAATTAGTCTTGATGAGATGAATTAGCGTCTTTAGATCAGCCTCTACTGCAGCAGTTTCCACACTGCTGCCTGATTTTAATGTAGTCATTATGGCTATGTTGCAACACTGTTTTAGGCTAGTGCTGATGTTCATGGCATATGTTGGAGCACCATAGCGATCTGTTTTACAATTGTAACTTGATACTTTTTTAGTTGCAGTAACAATTAGATCATAGTTTTGAGGTTTCAAACAATCCATCAAATTTTTAAGTGACGGTTTCAGCGTCTTCAATTCTAGTAACAATTTAGCCAATTCTCTCATTTTTCGCGATGTAACGTTTACGAAGTGTTTTTCTCGATGAATCCTTAAATATTGGGCTCCAAACGCACAGATTAACGTGTCTCTTTTAGCTTCTAGTGATATTTTGTCAGGTCTCATTTTTGGAAATACCTCATCTTTGAGTTTTTTGTCAATATTTAGGTTGCGTAACATAAAATTTTGAGACTGAACTTGAGTGTTGGCGGTATCGGATAACGGTTGACATGTGTTCTTATGTTTCCACAATTGTTTCCTAGAGTAGAAGCCTAAACATTTTTCACATGGTAACTAATCGATGTGTGGATAAACATTACTCTTTTTCATAGGTTTAACACATTTTATAACATTCCGAATATAGTTTCCTCTTTTTCGTAAGTTGGTTATTAGGTTTTTGCGTACGCAACTTTTCGTAGGATGAGAGATAATATTTTGTACTTCGGGTTCCGTACAATGATTCCGCAATAGATGTCTCGCAAAATTTAGCACATCGACCTCACAAAAAAAAAAACAATAATCCCTGGCTCTGGTTCTTTTCAACTCTTTCGTCTTTTGGCAACTTGTCAAATCCTAAAAGAGAACATTTCAATGAATTACAGAATAAATTTGCTTTATGAATTATCAACATTTTCACATCTGGTAACGTTCTGTAATTCTTGCCGCACGATAACATACGGTACAGTAACGTGCATTAATTACAGGACGTTACCGGAATGTCTCAAGAAGCACTTAGGCTCTCGTGATTGTATTTTGTTACAATAAGTGTCTAGAGGGATAGGCATTCTAAAATTAAAGGTGAGGCATCCTTTTTAGTCACAAATTAAATAGTTATCTGCCTAAGAATCCTCAAAATTAATATTTATGCCCAAAATTTTTTTAACAACATGAACATTGTACAGTTTTAATTGATTTGAATACAAAAATCAGAAAGTTATCTTCAAGATTTGATGTGAAACAAAAAAAAGAAATATTTCTGTCGCGTAGCGAAACTAAAGCTTCATATTCCTGATTTATGTTCATATTGTGAAATAAATAAATTCATGAGCATACAATGTTGATTATTGCAGCTTCATGGTTTCAGAATTTAAGTAATAAAGAAAAGATCTCACCTGGGGTTCCTCTAAGCTACGAAGTCTAAGACACAATTGCTGATTTTGATGTGTCTTATTCAATACTTCTTCCGTTTCTTCAGTATAACTTGTGATACTGGAGGATTTCTCGAATGCAGAAATGTACGTTGGATCTTTGTCAGAGTCGTCAAACTCAGAGCTATTGTCATGAGAAAAATTAGGAATGCCATCATTGGAAGCGCCACCTGACGTAGTAGGTACTGAGTCTTGTATCTGAGTGGTATGGTCTTGTGATAATGATTGGCTTGTTATTGTGTGATTTTTTGTGAGATTACATTCATTAGGATTACTTAGTGTTACATGCATTTGGTACGGAGATTGTTCCAATACGTTTGATAAGGACTGGTTAGTTATAGTAAGACACGATTGACCACTTTCACTATGCATTGGGTTCTGAGGTTGTTCCAACACATTTAAATATTCAGAATTTTGGATAACTGAATTATTACTGTTATCAGCCAGAATGTTTGCGTTCGCTTCGATAATAACGTTGCTGTCAGCATCTAGCAGAGGAGGACTAGAAGTTGCAACTGAATCTGACAACAAAGTATTCCGCGGTGTCTCGATGTCAGTCATTGGTCTTTGATCTGGCAAGCATGTTTCGTTATAGTTCGAATCCGAGTCATCAGCATCATTCGTTATATCATCCATCAGAGTATCCGTCAAGTCGTTATTTAAATTTGAACTATTTGCAGTATCGTCGTCCGTAGACGGTAGATATGTTTCATCCCTATGTTTCTCATTATCAATTATATCAAATGAATCATCAATGCTAGTATTTGGCGGTGCGTATGATGGGAGATTACGTCTGGATCTCTGTAAAATAAAATGAATTAGACAATGAGACATCACACACATCGATCTGATGCCGAGATAATGTAGTGTATGTAGGTATATATACGATAGCCTAAGATAGATTCGACAGTAATAAATCTACATTCAAGATCATTATACGCTTCATTTATTCCCCGAACCTCCCATTTATTTATTTATTTATTATATGGACAACAAAACAGATAACAATCAAAATACATTAAAAATTATACATATACATATTGTCTTGCTAGGAATTCGGGGATTGCGCTTTGTAATTAAGTTTAATTTACTTAAGAGGTAACCGGAATCGATCTCATTGTGGAGAATTTTATGTAAATATATAAGGTCATATTCCTTACGGCGAATAAGTAAAGAGGTCATTTTAAATTTGTCGAGTCTCTCACTATAACCGACAAGACTGCGACCAAGACCACATTTGTAGCTAAGTATTCTAAGGGTTCTTTTTTGGACGCTTTCTATACTATCCGAATGCACCGTGTAGCAGGGAGACCATTATAACATTAAGTAGCTTAAGGACTTGTGTTACGGAAATCAGAATCAACGAAGCTATTACAAATAAATACATAATAAATATATTACACCCAGATACAGAACAAACACAATGTTCATCACTAAGCGTTTGTCCTGGGCGGGGATCGAACCCACGACCCCTGGCTCAGAAGGTAAGAGACTACCCTTGGTCCAACGGGCCAGTAAGTATAACATTTATGTACCTTTTAGAAAAGCGTATGACCATAAATAAAAATTGGCTACTTACTAATGACATTCTTCTTAGATTCACGTAATAAGAAGCATCCCTTTGTTTTCGAGATTCAGTTGGAGTTGTAGCATCTGAAATAATCTATTAGATTAGGTATATAGTTTGTTGCCAAAAGAATAAATAAATATGCTATCGGTAATCTGTATAAACCGAGATTATATACCCAGGCAATGTACAACATACCTAAAAGGTAAACTGAAATATTATTCATTTTGTACTTTGCCTAGGTAGATCGGTACTGGCTTCATTTGACAGAAGGATGTGACACAAATCGCCTCACCTCAGGCACATATTCCTTATATCGGTTTTTTGCACATGTACATTTTATGTGTATTTACTTTGCAAAATTCATAAATCAAAATGCAAAGCGTGTAACGTTGCGTTATGTTTCAACCTAGAGCAAGATTGCTGCTACTTTTTTTTTACTTTAGAAGTATAGTTGTAGCACGAATGGGTCGGCTCGACCGGGGAAGGACCACGCTCTCACAGAATACCAGCGTGAAATAGTAGCTTAATGCTGCTGTATTTCGTATGGTGAGTATAGAGAACCGGAGACCCTTTTTACTGAAAACGAGGCATTCCATCTTAGTCCTCACGGGTGACAACGCATCTGCATTTTGATTCGTAATGGAGGATAGATGTGGATGTCTATGGGCCACGGCAACCACTTACCATCAGGTGGACTGTGTGCTCGTTTGCAACCCTATCCTATAAAAAAATACTAACAGTACCATTCGTTAATGAATAGTACTGTAGATACAGTAAATCCAACAAAAATACCAGGAGCCTTTTAAAGAAATGAGGAGCCATGTTATATATTTATTCAACTAACTATAATTTATTCAGCTAATTATTTCAGACTATCATCGTTGAAATAGTTAAGTTGGTTAAGTTACAGCCTATTTACGTCCCACAGCCGGGCCTTCCCTCACTTCTGAGAGGGTTTTAGGGCAAAGAAGTGCCGGCTGAGCTACCCCTATGCGTGTTGGCGAACTTCATGGCGAAAAAAATATGTCCTCGAAATATTTTTTTCTTATTTCTCAGACAGTCCGACTTCCTCACGATGTTTTCTTTCACCGCTCAGCACGTGGTAGATCAGCACTTAAAATTGCAATTAACAATTTCATTGATGCCAGCGGGGATGCACCCGGTTTGCGAGCGTACTGTGAAATTACGAACGAAACGACGAGAGCCGTGGTGGCTCTTCTGAGCCACCACGGCTCTCGTCGTTGAAACGAATACACCTTGTTATTTTGTATGTTTTTTTTTCTCTATAGGATAGGGTGACAAACGAGCACACAGATTGTAAGTAGTTGCTGCGGCCCATAGATATCTTCATCTCACTCATCTCACCCTCGATTACAAATCAAAATACAGATGCGTTGTCACCCGTGAGGACTAAAACGGAATGCCTCATTTCCAGTAAAAACCGTCTCCGGTTCTCTACACTCACCATACGAAACACAGCCAGCATTAAGCTAATATTTCACGCTGGTATTCTGTGAGAGCGTGGTCCTTCCCCGGTCGAGCCGAAGTATTCGTGCTGCAACTATACTACTAATATAACTGCAGCATGGCTCTACCACGTATAAAAAATGTTTTAATGAACTAGGAAAAAAATCGGACTTTAATTGTGGCATATTTTTGGAGCTTAAGAAGTGGGTTCTTTAAAATATATATCCATAATATATTTTTTATTTCAGGAAGAGATATTTTTATTTTAAATTTTATTATTTCGTAGATATTATTTGTGTTGAAGGAAATATGTTGATTATTTTGGTAATTGGAAATGTAAAATAACCGCCGCGCACCTTGCGCCGCCTTTGAACGGCTTTGTCACTCGACACTATTATGGTCGAGTATTGTTTACAAAAACCGTTATTTTAGACTGTACATCGGCACCTTTAATGGTTTTATGGCTTTTAAGGGAATGAATGAACCTTTATTTTTCTACAAGCGCTGTTGAAAATTGTTTGTTCAAATATGTAAAGTAATAAATTTTTTAGAAATGTGGCATTTACGGCTAAAATTTTGATTACTTACACAGTACATTAAGAGTACTTATGAAATACTTTGTGAGATTTGTAAAACTTAGCAAGATCTATTTAAAGATGACTGAATCATGTAAGGAAAAAGAGAGTTTCAACTAGTCCTGGAAAAAAAAACCACATGCTTCTTCATGAATTTAAGTATATATTTTTAAAGGAATAAAAAAATACTATTTTTATTGACTAACGCATGCCGCTCTGGTCCGAACTACATTCTAAATCGGTGTAAGTTGGTTGTGGGTTCTTGTAAGCTTATTATTAATGCGTTTTATGATGAAAAATTGTATTGTAGCCTATGATTTTGCACACAAAATATTGTAAACAATAGATTTAAGTTTAAAATTAAACAAAATTGAACTATTAAAAAACTTTGTTTCATCGAGAAATATGACAATTTTGACTTTACTCAGTATTTACTTACACTAATTACTTTAGGACTTTATTAAATTTATGTACTCTTTTTATAGGAAATTTCATAGAGAATTCAGAAATGTATATATATAATTGTATACGATATACCAAATTCAAGAAATTTGCGTTTAAACGGATTGCGCCCAATGCGCCGTTAATTTTATTAAACAGCTCCGCAGTCAATGGAGTATGACGGTTAGAGTCAACGCAGTTGAAAGACTAAGTTACTTAAGTCACCAGACACCAGACACAATGTGGGTTTAATAGGTAATTAGGAGTAGTACATTGTACATGTTGTATTATATATGTATAAGTGCAATTGTATTATGTTTTTTTTAACATAACACTGGCTAATATAGACCAAAATAATTTAATAAATTGACAATCCAATATACGGATGTCGGAAGCAAATAAGACGCCACATTATATACAAAAATGGATATAGTGGACGTACAATAAGTTACGGGATATCAATAACGTACGTCGTAAATATATTTTAGACGAACGGACGTACCTACTTTTGAATAATATACTTATAGATAATTATTTTCTTATAGGAGTATACTTTTTTTATTAAAAATACAGTAAGCAGCATATTCGGCTTGAATTCACTTCTAAATTACATAAAATTCTAGACTTCGATATTTTGAACTTTGAGTTTCAGTATCTATCTGTAGGCTTAAATCAACCTATTTAGAATATTTATTCAAGGTTTCAAAAAACCGTCATCTTTCTAGCACAGTTATAAGTCCCCTCAGATTATTTTTACAAATTTTTAAAAATGATCTAGTCGCCACGTTTTTTAAAAATTAACTAATGAACAAAATTTGAAAGAAGCCTGACTTTCAAAATAAAAGATATAAAGCATTTCACTCCTCCTTGCCCTTGTTTTCCGCAAAAGTATCTTAAAAGTATTTTGTTCTTGACTTGACTTGTGAATTTTGACAAGAGAAAAAGTTTATTAATCATTAAAGTATATAAAAAGAAAACTCTTTCTATTAAACATGGTGGAACATTAAGGTCCGATCCTCATTATAATGCCGCTCACAGTTCATTAACGATCAGATTTCGGTCTGTTAAAATATTATCAAGTAAAAAATATGTGTGTGCATTCATACTATCCGTAACAGTCAAGTTTCGGTCAAATCCCATTCCATTATAATAAGTCACACCGAGAGCGGACCGAGAACGAACTGTGAACGGCAAATGAGTATCGACCCTAAAAGCACTTTATTTTTTATTTCAGAGTGTAAGGTGTAAGTAAGTACCTACTATAAATACCTAACTAACATCTTTATTGTATAAGCAGTAAGCATGGGCGTTTTCAGTTCTTATCTGCAACGGTTACGTAACCGATATCTAGTTTTCATATCGTTATTGAAAACCATTTTCAGATATCGATATCAATAGTAATTAATGGTTTGCTACTGAATGTGCAAACGACAATCGTACCATAAACGCAAACTGTACTACGAGTGCAACATGTATTTAATGAATTACATATATTATTCTAGATTAGAAGTCAGAGGTTCTAATCTTATTGTTATCTTAGATGTAATATTTAAAATGTATGTTAATATATAATTTTTGTATATTCAATGTTATGCTGTAATAAATTATACCGTCACTGTTACAGCTTATTAAAGTACAATGCTGAACACATAGGCCTTCTCATAGATTGTATCATTGGTGGGATATTTGCCATAGTTGCCACGCTTGGCAAGCGGGTTGGCAACCACAGTTTTTTTGAAGTGAAACTTTTTACGGGAGGGCTTTGAGTGAAATGCTGATCCGCTATATTTTTGTATGACGAAAAGTGGTGGGTGTAAACACTACGTACGTACTGGGCATTCGGTCGATCATTCGTCGCAAACGCAAGCATTTTTTTTATAGAAGAGGGGGCAAACGAGCATGTGGCTCACCTGATGTTAAGTGACTACCGCCGCCCATGATCAACCGCAACACCAGGGGAATTGCAGGTGCGTTGCCGGCCCTTTAGAAAGGAGTAAGCTCTTTTCTTGAAGGTCCCCAGGTCGTATCGGTCCGGAAAAACACCGGTGGTAAATTATTCCACAAGAGGTTGTACGCGGAAGAAAACTCCTTTTGAAACGTACAGTGAAAACGTACATGCATTACATACCATAAAGTATATAGTAGTACAATTACAAGCTGACAACGGTCTTTTGTATCAAATACTAATCTTATATTAATTTTATTTAAGACAGTTACCAAGGTACACGTATTTATTTTAGTAAGATTGAGCTGAGCGCACTTCAGTAATAGCGCCAGTATGTTGTATAGGTAAAGATATTTTGTCGAACAAACACTGATTGACTCTCAAGGTGGTATGTAGTATAGATGCTAGATGACATTAACCTAAAAAATTGCTGCCCATCTCCTGATTTGTTTCCGTGTAGTGAATAAAATTACGTTCATTCTATCCTTTTTTTTTCTATAATTTTGTTACCCATTTTTTTCAAATTGAGACGTAGGATCAGAGTCTGATTTCAAAGTCTATAATTAAAGTGTATTCTTTTTTTAATTTGACAACTCTCACAGCTACACAAACTTAAAAATTAGGCAATTTTAACCATTTGAAATTCGACCCCTTTGCTTTAGGTAATTATATCCAGATGAGCATTGTGTACCTACCGTGTGAAACTAAAATTACCAAAACAGAAATCCTCTCTTTCTATAGGAATTTATGATACCGTCGCAAGAACAAGAAACAATGAATATCAATGCAGGACAGCAGAAAAAACCACAAAAGAGAGCGCTACCCAACTGCCCAAAAAAAAAAAAAAAACAAAAAATAAGCCAGCAAAAAAACCAAAGAAAAAAAAACCCGGATGGTCAAAAATTTATTTAACATTAAAAAAAATAAAAACCAAAACACCAAAAAAAACCATTATGTAAAAAAATATATAAAAAAAAAAAAACAAAAGAGAAAAACCCAAAATCGCATCGGTTTAGCTCGTAGGCCGTTTTGGTTTCGTTTTCGTACGTTGGTTAGGTATATGGTTTTGGTTGGATATGTGATAACGGTTTTGCACTTAGGTTTATCGATATGATATGATATTTGATAACATAACGTTATTAGTTACGTTTTGATATATCGGTCTCATGCCTAATAAGCAGTCCTGGTAATACACGCTGAAAACGCGGCCGACAGCGGCCCGCGGCTACAACGCAAAATTTACTTTACGCTTGTAAGGTTAGGTACATTTTTGTTCGCAGCGTCTAGCGTGTCGAAGGAGTAGGCAACTATAGCAGTACGTAAAGAAAATTTTGGATGGAGTGATTTATCTATTTGTAATGCTGCGGCTACGGAGAAATGCCGTTAATTATCGCGTTGATGGACGTTGAATGTAGGTGTGGCCACGAATTAACGCGATAATTTGACAACGGCATTATATGTGTGCCACGGAGTTGCACGTATGGCTGCGATGGAGTGGAGTAATGAAAAAGGTTTTAGAGATTGAATTAAAAAAATACTTCAAAAGTACTTTAACTTACGGTATGAAACTAAGAAAAATAAGCAGGAGAAAGAAAAACAATTTTTGCAGGTCAAAATTCATAGTGTACAGTGGTACGAAACCCTGGGTACGTGTATCTAATTCGCACTTGACCAGTATTTATAATTGGCTTATTAGTTATTATTTCATTAAAATATATTTACGTTTGTTATTTTATTTAGCTTAAACTTTTATACGTGGTAGAGCCATGCTGCAGTTATAGTAGATGTATAGTTGTAGCACGAATGGGTCGGCTCGACCGGGGAAGGACCACGCTCTCACAGAATACCAGCGTGAAATAATAATATAATAATAATTTATTTGACTCAATTGACAGGTTACACTTATTGTATTATATCTATTTTAAATTAAAAAATTACATTTCAAAGAAGTGGAAGGTGACAAACAAGCACACAGTCCACCTGATGGTATGTGGATGCTGTAGCCCATAGACACCTACATCTATCCTCGATTACGAATCAAAATGGTAAAGTAACTATTTAGTAATCTGTGTTGTAGGTTCGGACTAAAGTAGCTAGGTACCTAATATTATAAATCAAAAACAAAATCAAATCGAAAACTGTAAACTTACCTTTGATTCCTTGTATCATTTTCAATATCCTTGCACTTCGACTACTTTTACTAGTCATTTTGCTTAGCGAGGCGGACGTCACTTCTCAAATAAAATAAATGCGGCGACACAACGCGCGTATACTAACAACGACAAAACAAAACGAAGTAATGTGATTTTGTTTGTTTAAAACTTATTTGAACGGAACGGCAACGTCGCATCCCCTAATTTTGTGCGGAAGTCAAATACGGCCATGAATGAAAGTATTCACAAATAGACAGCAGCGCTATTATTTTTGCTACGAAAACTAGCGGAACTACGAAAATATTCAGTAAAGCGAGATTGGAAGAAAAATGACGTCCAATTTTATTTTTAGATTTTGACATTTCTATGATCAGCATGACAATCTGCGAACAATGCGCTAAGTCTCCTATTTGACGTCCGTATATCGGACGTCGTAAGCAGGTTTACGCCACATTATATGCAAAATTCGCCATAGTGGACGTACAATAAGTTACGGGATGTATATATATATATATATATATATATATATATATATATATATATATATATATATATATACATACATATGCCAAAAGTGTCTTCGTTGCCTACACCTAAAATAAGCTTTAATTAATAAAAAGTCAAGTGCGAGTCGAAATCGTGCACCAAAAGTTCCGTACCACAGCATTCTGCAACTCTTAGCTCGAGTTCCATTTGAAATTGGTATCAATAATAATCCTTAATGTTTATCATCACCAACATTATTGATTTTCATCACCAATGATCATAATTTTCAATGCTCTTGATTATCTTCATTAATCTCTAATGATTATTATCTTTACTATCAATTAATTTTTCAAATTATAACATACTCCTTGTGTTTGGCCCCCCTTTTAATTTCTTATTTTTTTATCTCACAGTGGATCGGCGTTCGGCGTAGGTCGCATGGTAATGATCGCAGAAAGCATGGTAGATTTTCAATGACATTTCTGAAATGTTGAAAGCTCGAAAGACAATAAAATTTCTATGGTTTATCCGAACAACAAACATAAGTAACGAATTTGATAACGTAATCATAAATAATTTTCACTAATCTTATTTTTTTTTATAGGATAGGATGACAAACGAGCTGACACTCCACCTGATGGTAAGTGGTTGCTGTGGCCCATAGACATCTATCGAATTGGTAGAATTAGTTTATTTATTTCTTTATTTTGTAAACGTAAAGGGGAATGCCCACTGTTCATAGACACTTCGGCCATCAGTGCCCACATATAAAAGTATATGGAAATGATAATATGCAATTAACGTAATGAAATGGTTAAGGTATAATGGTTAAAAAAAGTCGGGCTTTTTATGATTTAAAAGTTATTATTTTCACAAATACAGTTTTTTAACGACTACTTTTACCAATTTTATTGCTTTTAATTTCTTTTATTTTTAATTCCCAACGTTTCAGGTGTTTTATAGCACCCATGGTCACGGGGGACTGAGGTGACTGCCATCCCAATGTCAGTATTAATATGGAGTACCTTCAGCTTTTTATTATTATTTTTATAGTCCAATCTACGCAAATTGAACTTACTCTATCTTTAAGTCTTGTAGTGGTATGCTTGGATTTAGTTTTAATTTTATTAATTATAGTGTCCCAAGCAGGTGGTAGTACCCAACCGCCTTCTCTATTGAAATTAGGATGTTTTTTAATTTCAATAGAGCCTTTGACATACGGTAGTACAACAGGCACACGCTCAACTGCGGTCGGCTTCACTCCGTCACTGTGACGTAGACGCGGGACCCGAAGCTTGATTCTGTGCAGAACCTGCTTGACGTGCTGAAGCTCTGTGGCCAGTTGCTTGTTCTCACAGATCCCATATGCTCTCTGTAACAAAGATTTGCTCACGGTAACTAACTTTGAAGGATGATGGTGAGATTCACCGCTTAAATATCAGTTTGTATGGGTCTTTTTATATACACAGTGTGACCTATGATGTTGAAACAATCCACATTGGAACGAGACTTGAAGTGAATAGAAAGTGAAAAATCATGAACTGTGAGGACCCCCGGGGGAGCACCCCCTGGGATTCACCAGAAGAAGTGAGACAGGCAACACCCAACAGAATTAGTGAATCAAGAGTAATAGGAAACATGCTCTCGAAAAACAACAGTGAAAGTTCACACAAATCTAATGATATGGACACGGATCTACTTAGTCTAGACAAGGACAGTAAACAAGTGAAAGACAAAGTGAAAAAAGTGAAAATGGACCTCAATGAGTTCAATAAAAATATAATACAGTGCTGGGAATGCGAACAATACTTCCAAACGGACGCCCCCCTGTGGGGTACCAATCAAATGAACACGAGGAAAATCCAATGTAATGTATGCATGGAAAGCTTTCTCATAAAGGCGGCCACTACTATAGTGCCCAAATTCGAAAAAAGAAACACTAAAAATCGAAACTACCATAACAATATACACAGCCTCGCTAAAAACCGGAGTAAGCAACTTTCGTGCGTGCGTGGACTGTAAAACAAAGAGAGAATTGATCACCCTACCGATAGACGCATTTACATCGGAGGAATGGTTCATCTGTAAGTGCGGCAAAAATCAATGCGCACTTATAAAAACCACGGCAGAGGATTCAAGCCCGTCTCTAACCACCCAAAGAGGCAAGAAGAAAAGAAATCGTAAGGGCGTTGGCTTGCAAGAGCCAGTGCACGTGCAACGAACGAGGTTAGAGCCGACGAACGGCACATGCAAGCCGCTCGCCGCCCGGACCGCCCCCCCGCCTCACCTCAGGGGAACGACACAGCGTGCGAGCGTCTACGCTAGTGAACAAAAGAAACGACACCATCGCCCAAAGCCACACGACCACGGCGCGTACCTGCGCGACCGAAACAACCCAAAGTTTGGCCGCCACATGTAACACCCAGCGCGCGGACAGGCAAGCCGAGGCCAACTCGGAAACACTACCAAGCTACAAAACGAAAATAGAGGAATAAAAAGACAACGCACCGGAACAGATAAGTTCGTGACGCCCACACAGAAAAACACACATATCCCTGATATAATAATTAGGGATGAAAAAATAATGAACGACCAACGCGCCCTCAGATTTATAAGAGAGGCGACATCAACAAATAATTCAACGCTTAGAGTGACGAACGGACAAATAAAAATCAACCCGGGGAGCTCAGCAGCCCGGGAAGACATTCTCACGAAAATCCAAGTGTGCGAACCATCAAGAATAATAGCACCAAAAACGAAAGCTGACAGACAACCAGCGACAAAAGTGGTGCTGAAAAATGAAACATACGGTGAGGACACTGACATAATCGCAGAAGAGATAGCGGAATGCATTGGCATTAAACCGATATCAATAAAACCGCTAGGAAAAGCAGGTAAAATACACCTCTTGATTTTTGAAAATAAATATAAACAAAAAAGCGTCCTGGAAGCATGCAAAACCGCTGACAGGAAGTTCTTCTGCGCCCCTTGCATAAAGGTAGAGCCATTCAGAGAAAACCCGAGACACATAGTGCAATGCAAGAAATGCTATGCATTTGACCACTCGAAACAGTCTTGCTACGGCAGACAAGAAGAATCACAGATGAAAATCAATACACCCGAGGGCACTACGACGATGGTCTGCAAAAACTGTAAGAAAGAAGGACACAGCGCGAACAACGCTACCTGCCCGATATTTCAAAAAATGATATCCAAACAAATGGAACAAGCGAAAGCCAAACAGACTAAACAAGAAGAGAGAATCAGACGTGCGACAGTCAGACCTGGAGTCAGATATGCGGACGTCTCAAGCAAAAGACAATTCCCCGCCTTGCCACAGAAGGAGCCGACAGTATCACAGGGGGAGCAGGCAACGTTACCACCGATGAACGAAACAACCATAGAAAGCATCCACCTAAGACTGGAGCGAACGGAAAAACTACTAATGAAGCTCATAGAAACCATGAATAACACACAACGACAGACCAATGGCTAATCAAGACCAAAAAAAGAATACAAAACCTCAAAATCCTACACCTAAATGCACAAGGACTGAGAAAGAAATTCATTGAGTAAAAAAGCTGGCAGAGAAATACAGGCCAGCCATAATAGTGATAAACGAATGCAAAATCGACTTCGACAAGGAGAAGTTTAACATGAAAGGATACGATAAAATCACACACTCGCTTAAAACCCACTTAACCACAGCCATGTACATACAAAGGGGGCTAAGATGGACCGAAACAGAGGTCACACCGGGGTGGGGAGAGGAGAGAAGAAAAATTGAAGGCGTGGGCATCAAACTGTTCACAGACCACGCGACTGGACAATACATAAAAATAAAAGGGACCTACTTTCAAATCCCAAATCAACACCAAGCCAGAGAAGAGCTTGAAGAAACCTTGGCTGACGAACCAACGATCATAATAGGAGATCTGAATCTACAGATGCGCGCCCTGGACCAAAGAAGAGACGCAGGCCTAGGCATTGTAATCAGGAAAGCAATAAACGACGGAATCTGCTCGCTAAAAAACGCCGGCGCGCCGTCGAGGCCGGCCAACCAAGGCAACGCAATCCTGGACATAGCCGTAATAACACACCAACAGATCGAGGCACAAGCCAAGCAGTTAGAAAGCGTTGGATCAGACCATCTACCATGGCTACTCACTGTAAAAATCGAACACAACATAGAGGTAAACAAATCTCGCAACACAAGGAGGATACGCGAGGACGAGGGGGGCGATGGAAGCATATCAACAAACCATGTGGGAAGGCTTCCGCTACCTACACGGGGAAATAATTACGGAGGAAGACTGCGAAAGATACGTCGAAACCATGGAGAAATCCATTACAGCAGCCCTCGACGAACACGCACCTTTCAGAACAACAACGAGACGAGAACATCTACCACCGGAAATTAATGAAAAGATAGACTTCAGAAACAAGCTGAAACAAATTAAATGGCAGGCAAGGCACGGCAGCCTCAACCTACAACGAGAGGCACGTGCCCTCTACAACAAAGCCAAAAAAGAAGCAGACCAAGCACTGAGAGAATATACCGAGAAGGGC